GAAGTAGCTAGCAGAAAACCCAGTGTAAGCACAAAAGCAGTAACCTTGGCTAGCTTCAACACCACAAACACACCCCATATCACGCAAGTACTTAATCCCAGCCCAAAGCTTGATAACAGTTAATTCTATCCCACTAGAAAGCAGCAGCTGTTCTTCTAGCTGAATTCTTTTCTTACCAAGTACTGCAGAGTCCCAACAAAGGATGTGCATAGGCTACCCTGATCCAACTCCTTAGCATAACCAAGGTCAATGATTTTGTGTATTAACTGAAACACAACAGAGAATAAGAATGCTAGACTGAAGTCCTCTTAAAAGTACATCATACAGCAGAAAGAAAAGGGTCAGCTATTCAAAGCTATGCTGGAAAGGTGCCAGTGAAGAGACAGAAGCAGAAACGGGAGGCTACTGTAGATTCCTAAAACCACGATGAATTTGTAGGTGTTGTAGCACACTTAGCAGTTATGTGTCCAGCTCCTTCTGATCTTTGGTCAATCAGTAGAGTCTGGTTCTTTCCTTAGTAGTTGAAAGTCAAAATGTCAGGTGTTAACAGATGTCTAGTACAATGTCTCAGCTGCACACAGAATACTATTCATCTGACATAGTGACCTGAGACGGGCTAAGTGCTCTTGCAGAGGGACTGCATGAAGCACATGCATGTGCCTTGTAAGCGTACTTGTCTGTGCAGGTAGAGACAACTGCTTCCTGCTTACCCTTTGCTCCCCTTGCTGCAGCACAATGTTCTCTGGTTTCAAGTCTCTGTGGATGATCCTGTTCTCATGAAGGTATCTGAGAGCAGAAGCTGAGACACAGAAAAAGCCAGTTGTAAGAGCATAATTAAAAGTACCTAGCTGGAACTCAGTAAGGATTTAGTTCTATCTAGTAACAAGCATAGCTTTCGTATCAAACCTTGTACAGTCAAACGTACAATGAAACACCAAGTATAAGGGGTAAAGTCAGCATCCAGCATCATAGAACTTTGGACAAAAGCTGAGTTCTCTCTCTGGGTGCTCCCTCATATCCTTCCTGTAAACTGTAGTAACACCGGCTAGCTTCCAGTAGGCAAGGACCACCCCAGACTGCCAACACTTTTGGTAGATGATCAAGATCATAAAACGTCAGTCCAAAATGGAGTCACTAAGGTCACTGCTGTATATTTGGAGAGTGGATTCAGGAGTAAAAGGGTTTCCATAGCTCAGACAACAGAAGGTACTGCTACCACTTACCAATGTCAGACAACAAGATAAGAATAGCTTCTTCCCGCAAGCCACAGCAATTCTCCAGCTGGTTCAGGTACTGCAAGTAAGCAACACAGAATGTAGTCTTTCTCTCTATCCTGAGTGAGTCTCACAGCCCCACAAATTCTCAGAGATGCAAGAAGTTTCAGCAACAGCAATTAAATTCTCGAGAAGCACAAAACTAGAGGACTGTGACCGGTGGTAGCAGCAATTACAGCTTCGTGCCTTGGTTTAATTGCATGGGAGGATAAAGGAGCAGGTGAAAGAAGTCACTGTCATCCCATTCTTATCCTTCTATTTGTTCCACCCCTCTTTGCCATTTCCCCTGTGCCTGACAGTATCAAATCCAATCTGAGGCTTAAGGTCTGTGTTTTAGCTATGGATTATAGCATAGGTCAGAAAAGCCTTAGGATTAGAACGATCGTGTGTTATTTCTCCCTATGACAGACAGGAGTCAATCACTTTCAGGAAGGGTACCGCCTACAGACACACCTACCCTACAATGGTCTTGGCCATACTCACATACTGTCGCACATCCCTTACACTTGCCCTTGTTCTTTATGTGCAAACTTCTCACAGTGTCACTTGCATCCAAAAAAAAATATGAAGAGTTTCACAAAGCACTTAAGTCTTCAAAAGCTGAACATAATATCAAGGACCAAGCCACCAAGACAAGTTGATGCCACGACTAGAATTAGGAAGCATCAGGATGTGAAAGCAAAGATTTTAAGGGAAAACTTCAGTAGAAAACCTAGGATCAGATTAGAAGCTGATCCATTCCTTGATTACCACTCCAGGGACCTCACCTTGCGGAGGTCTCCACCTTGGCAGTACTCCATGGCCAACAATGGCAAGTCATTTGGTGCGAGCTTCTGCATCCCTTCAGGGACATCACGGGCAGCCACCACATTGGGATGATTGAGTCTGTGGAACAAAAATTAGGCAAGTATACATGATGTTCTGCAACTGCTATACACTTTCACACGCTCATGGTCATTACTGAAAATCCTACATGGTCATAAATCCTTTTAGAAACTGAATTAATGAATTATAAAGGCTTGCATCTTTCACTGATCTGGACTCATTCCAATTCCTGGCATTTCACGTCCAATACAGTGTGTTCCTTCAACACGTATGCATTATAGATCTGTCTAGAAGGTACAGCAACAAGCCTTGCAAAGGAGTGCAAGGCAGTCTGTTGTCACTGTGCAGAAAAGACCCAAACTGCAATCGGACCGCTACACCCGAAAATATTAATCCAACACTCCAAGGGACTGCCCCAGCACAGACGTTAAGTCAGGCAAAGCAGCGGCTAGACAGCTGCATTGTTGTAGCGCTTGAGGGCACGGCAGACGAGCCGAAGACGGCAGTGTGAGACCCAAGAGTCTCACGCAGCACAACGTGAAGTTTTCTTAAGTGTGAACTTCCACGCACTTGCCGCCGCAGGTGATCGGGCACCTCCCGGAAGGGGATCCCTTGGCGGCAGGCGGCCGACAGCCTCTCCCACCATTCCCCTCAGCGCACCCGTCAGATCCGCGCTCCAGGGCCGTCTCCGCCACGCGTCGCGGGGCACTGACGCGACTCCGCGCAACGACCCCTCCGCCCGGCCCGGCCGCACCACTGCCCCGCCTCACCTCTTCATGATCTGTATTTCCAGCGCCCAGCGGTCTCGGTTGCGCGGGCTCAGCTCCTGCCGGCACTGCTTGATGGCTACCTGTTCGCCGGTTTCCTGTGGACACAGCAAGGGTTGGGCTGAGCACGGCTCCCGAGCCGGGGCGCCGCGGGCCCGGCCGCCGCCTACCTTGTTGTGCCAGCGGATGACGTTGCCAAAACCGCCGGTGCCGAGGCGCTCCCGCATCTCCCAGGGCCCGCAGGTCAGCGCCTGCAGCGCGGGCGGCCGGCTCATGGCGGGCCCGGCTCCGCTCCGCGGGGCCTGCGCTTCCGGCTCCGGCGCGAGCGGCCGCCCGCCCTTAAAGGGGACGCGCGGGGCCGGCGCTCGGCCCGGTCGGGACCGCCCCAGCGAGGAGCGGGGGAATTGCGATCGTCGGGGCCGCAGTACCGCGTGGAGGGAGTCGGGATGAGAGGAGAGTACAGCTCGTGGGCTGTGTAAGTAAAATTGCAGAGTTGCCGTCTTCTTCCCACAGCATCTCCAAAACTTGCCAATCCGGAATGCACCATTTGCGTTTCCGTCCGCACTGCCCGAGCCAAAGCGCTATTCTGCGCATTACATTGGGTTTGGATACTTCTTCCTCCTGGTCTGGCTGGCGGGAGGTGCTATAGCGCCGCTGCAAAGACGCACAACAGCACGAGGGTGGAAGAGGCCCTCCAAGACGTGCCACAACTTCAGTCGCCTGCTCTGGACCTGCCAACACCACCGGGGTCCCGTCAGGGTGACATGGGTCACACCTGCTCTATGGTCTCATGATGTCACACTTCGTCACTGACATTAAACAGTCCTGCTGAAATTGTCCCGTGGATCAACTCAGAGAAAAGCCAGTAGATGGTGCTTGAGAGAGCAGACACTTTTATTGCTGGCTTTCCTAAAATATGTTAAGCCCTACAAATGGCACCACACTCAGTAGACAATTACAGTTGTCCTTAAGCTGTGAAAAGCCAGGAAATAATTTTTGAAATATTCCCCCATGGCCATTAGTTTGTTAGCGTCTTTAATCTAGAAGTCAAATGGCTGTTATCTTTTAAAATAAAATAAATTAGCCCTTGCTCGCTGAACAGTGTTCAGTCTCAACAACTGGAAGTCCCTTCTGGAAACGGTCAAATGCAGCTACACTTAAATCACGTTTATGGCAGTAATGTTTTCACCAGCACTGTGACTCTTGGAGAAATACATTTGATAATCTTGACATAGATCATGCAGAGAAGAGCTAAACATACAGAGTACCCAGTGTTTCATCTTTACCATTATGCAAAATAACCAGTGCCATGCTTTCCAAATGAGGACTCCATGCAGCTGCTTCCTGAAAATGGAAGTCCCTCACATGCTGGTTCTTATGTCTTACACTAAATTCTGTCAGGAACCTGACGTTAGTGAATCTGCTCCAAGAAGGTAAGGCACATTCATCACTGTAACAATTGCACCACTAGCTGTTTTTGTAACAGTGCCCTAAGATCAGCTCTAAAACTAATTGCCACATTTGTCTGCCACACTTTGATAACTGAATACCACATGGCCACATCCTGGTGAGTAGATTTTTACATTTTCTAGAACGAGTAGTATCAGTGAACATTTAACTCTGGCCGTCAACATGCTGTTCCTTATTTCTATCTAAAGTTCATTTGAAGTTTTGCTCATTTAATTTGCAAGCTGCTCTGACCGTTTCTTCTCCCATGGCTCTATTCAGGGCTTTGCTCCACATGTGGGTCAGAGCCTCTCTGCCAAACAATTAGGAGTACAGCACACTACACTCGTGCTCGAAACGGGAGTTTCTCATTATCAGGACTAAGTCTAGATACTGCAGACTTCTAATTATATTACAAATAATACAGCTGTGCATTCATTCACAGTTCTAGAAGCATAATGGGACAGGACAGTTTGTTGTAGGGGATACGTACTATTCTGTCATTGAACAGCAAGGTGTTCAATGGGGAAAAAATATTTTGAAGACTGAATCTGCTGACTGGAAAAGAGAAAGAACAAAATAAACTGGCCGTAAAGTCCAGCAGCATGCCAGCAAGCAGCTTTCCTCCCGTCCCGCACAGGCTCCCTCCCCGACAATCCGGACCCAGCCCCAGCCTGGAGCATCCCCTCGTCATCGAGGGGAAGGGGTGGGATGCGGCAGCACCGCCCGAGGAGTCTCCACCCCCTCGAGTGGCGCTACAAGTAGGACAGAGATCAGAGCAGACACACAGGAAACACAAACCCAGAGTGGTCTGGAGAGAAAATTATCAAGCGAATACAGAAGAGAAAAAGCAAAAAGGTAGGCACTACTCCGCACCTGTTTCAAAAAGAGCATTTCCTGTTTTCAACATCAATGGCATTGTCATTAAATACTATTAAATATTATTATTTAATAAACCCCTCTGAAGCACCATGATAGTTAACTAACTGAGCTATTGCCTTCCTGCTTCTGAAGAGATTCATAGTGTGGGTAAAGCTGCTAACTTTCAGTTGTCTCAAGAAAGCTGAGGCTTTCCAGAGAAGGGAAAGCTCGGGCTCTGACCAGTTAAGCAAGGAGGAGTGTCCTTCACAAAAGCCATTAGAAGAAGAACTTAAAGAAAGAATTATGGACAGATATCTTGATGGTAAGGTAGGGAGACACAGAAAACTAGCTGCAAATAGGGAATTTATCTAATCTTCCCAGGAGGAGATCAGACTATGCCTTTCACCCCAGGTTCCAAAGCACAATAATGGAGGGACACGAGGAGGAGGGTGGGTCATCTTCAGTTCTCCCTAAATATGCTTCTCTTTAAATATGGCCAAAACCACAGGAAATACTGAGAATGATTCCCAAAACAAAGTATTTTGAAATATCCATTTCCTCCAATGTCTTCAAAGACTACCTCATCTTACTTTTTTCTTTTGGGTTTTTAGCTCTTTCCCCCAAAAACACAGGTCTGTTTATTATATTTTTATGGAGAAATAGTTCAAATCTACTATTCATCTGCTCAGTTCAGAAAAGGGATACAGAAATGCTTTATCCAGAAGGGAGGAAAAGGCAGCAAGGGTCTGCAGTCTATTGCTTCAATTAAATCAAGATAGCTGATCATCATCAAGAAAGCTATTAGTGCTATAGATTCAGAAACAATGTAATTTGGAATGGACACATTATGTCACTGGGAGGAAGGAGAGCTACTTTTAATTTCTGTATCTATAGATGTCGAACTTCGGGGCAGGGTTTAGTGGTGGATCAAGATGTGACCCAAAGATAAAGCATGGAGTAATTAAGGTTCTCCGGAGAGGTTCTTGTGAATCTTTTCAGTCCGACTTGCGACTTAAGTCCCTTCTTTTTGCAGCCCAGTGATGAGAAATCACATCCTAAACTATCCTGTTGTACTCCTGGTTCTGCTTCAGAAACTGGACTATTCATGCCTTTTGCTTTGAACAAGTTTTAAAACAGACAGACCAAAAAAACCCCAACGACAAAACTACTAAAGAACCACAGAGTCTTTCTCCATATCAGCCTTGAATTCCAGTTTATGACTCATCTATCATACTCCAATTTCACCAGCTGTTATCCAGCTGCCTTCTCTGGCTATATATAAACAGAGTCCGAACTCCTGATTTCTGGAAGTAGTAGATTTCTCAAATAATTGGGTTAGCTTTCGGCATATAACAGATGATAAAAAAGGTGATAGTGTGGGCAACAGTGCCTGAATATTATTCCAAATACTTGGAACTTCAGGGCAGTCCTAGAGACTGGAAATTAAATTGTGTCTTCTTGCCTGTCTTGTACCTGCTACTCTTTCTCACTCCCAGCTCTTGGTTCGGATAGGAGGTATTATATTTTAAAAGGAAGAGAGAAAATGGACTTCTGGTGTGGGACTTTTTCAATGCAGGAGGGCTCCACCACATCTACATCGCACCTTCACAATCTCCCACTAGGGATCAATGAAGGTTCTCTCCCAAGACTACTGATATAGGAGTCAGACTGTAAATCGATTTGGAGAAAGTAGAAACTCTTCCTGGTGGATTAAGGAGGGCTTTGAAGTGTAAAGCTGCTGAAGGCAACTAGAGGGAATAATGTATAGTTGTGACTGCACAGAACTGACATACAGAAAGATGCTGCAACAAATAAACGAGAGTATCAGAACAAAAGCTAGCCTGCCATACTCTGCCTTTTTAGCAAAAGCATATGATAATAGTTAACTGAAGGCTGAAGTTGGGGAGAAGCAATAGAAATGTTGAAAATAAGAGACATAACAGTACTGTCCTCACCTATCATCAAAGAAAGTCATTTTGCCCACACATCCTCAACATGAAGAGAGAAGCCTTCACTGTAACCCAAAGCAGCAGTCGTACAAAAAATGCAAATCCTCATAAACTGCTGTTACCACAAACTGACCCTTCAGCAGACGTCTGTGCCTCCGCAAGAGATCTCTTAAGTAGGTGTCAGTAATCAGAATCTCAGTTAACGCATTCAAATCACCATTACACTGCATCATCAGACAAGCCCATCTCTCTAATAGCGCACATGGTACTGTTGGCATCCTGCAGTTTTGGGAAAAAGTATTTGGAATTTACTTCTGTCTTATCCCCCAGGAAACGCCCTGTCAGTTTCCTCTAGACATAAAAGAGTATGCTTTAGCTTATCAAGTTTCTAAGTTTATCAAATAAAAACACATCTGGGTCCAGCCTGGCAGTTTCCCCAGGAAGACCAGGACAGCTAGACCAGAAAGCTGAGAGGCGACGAGTTGAAAATGTGTAAAAAGAATTTTCAGAATTTAAAACTTTCATTTAAAGTTACACCTTGAACTCCATTCACACTGTAAACTTCCTTTGTTCAATATCTTATTTTTTTGTCTCTACAGATAATTTGAGATTTGGAGCTGATGTGAAAAACACTCAGAATGGAAGGCAAACTCCCATGTCTCCTTGTGCTGGTGGGAGCAGTCATGACTGCCCAGTGCCAGGTAAGAGGCTAATGCATCAAATAATTCTCTTGCCATCTTCCTGTATTTTCAGTGGCACTGCCTTACCGTTGACTCCAGCTGTCTGCATCAGGAGAATTTGCTTAGCTCACTAGAAATCAGAGGAAGAAAAATGTTGCAAAGTAGTCTACCTCTTGTTGTGGATGTGTTATGTGTTATCCTGTCTGGTTTTCATTTCAGTAAGCAAGCCTTCTCTGGGTATTCTTGGTGTATCGGTTCACTGTCACCTTTGGCCGTTAATAAGAATTCCATTGTAACCAGCCTTTCATTTTCTATGGTCATCATCTTCATCATTACTCTCACTTAAAACTGGACATCAATGGTTCCCTTGTCCCCTCACTTTAAGCCTCACACTGCACACAGCTTGAGTAAATGCTACACAATTATAAAATGTTTACTCCCTTTCTCAAAAAATTGCTATCCCACCCTTCCTTCTTCTTTTTATCTTCTTTCTCTTGTGGCCTAATCTAAGAAGCTTTCTAAATTGGTTTCTTCCATAAAACTTTAACTAAAATATTTTATTTAACTGGCTGCAGGAGACGTATCTCTTAAAGGTAATCAAGCTATAAAGTCTTATGGGGAAACTGTATGTCAGTGAGCAAGAGTAACTTCTTGCTGACTTTACCTTGGAAATTATTTGTTTGAACCTCCTTCAAATAGCTGACAAGCTTTAGTTAGCATTTGCAATGCCCCAAGAGCACATAATGACTTCACACACGATGTGAGTACAGCACATCCTAAGTGCAGGTCACTCAAATGACAATCACCTGATAATCCGTGGCGACTGAATGACTTACAATTCTTAGGAACCCATACTGAGGTACTAGAGGCACTTTTCACTGTACTGTGTGACAAGAGGGCAGACAGTTCCTCAGAGCTTCCATGATTCACATGACCTCAAGAAAAGGACTGCCTCTTTGAAGGTACTTGTTCCCTCATCTTTTTAAAGAGAGCAGTTACAGAATTAACCTTCTTTGCTTGCAGGGCTTACACATGCGTTTCAAACGAGGAGCCAGATCTAGAGGTAAGCTAGGCTAACTAAAACCATATTAGCTGGAGCATTACGAACATGGGAGGGGAAAGCAAATTATGCTGAAGAAACAGAGCCTGAAAGCTTTTTGCCATGGTTATGTGTATGAGAGATTCAGAATGCAAAATACCAGACTGTTAATATCATCCACAACAAATTTTTCCCCTCCCTCTGCTCTTCTTGAAAGAAAAAGAGACCAGTCAATAGTGGAATAGTACATCCGGCAGCACAGCAGTGAGAGAGATGGGACAGTTGTAGTCTGAGAAGGAAAAAGGGCAACCCATTAGACAGATGCTCCCATCACAGATACTTTTCTTCTGGAAATACAAGAGAGTCCTTTGGCTCAGCCAGGTATTTTCCCTGAATCTCTAAAAGAGGATTTCCTTTCTCTGATTACAGCCATTTGCACAGATAATTCATCTGCAGAAATTTACCAACACAGGGGGACCTGGCTGAGGCTTTCAGGGAGCAGAATAGAATACTGTAGGTGTGACAGTGGTCGAAGCCATTGCCACACTGTACCTGTCAGAGGTAAGTTTGACAAAGAAGGAAATGGTGAGAGATTGTCCATCTAATCATCCTACAGAAGAACTCCACTGTCAGGGCCAGAGTTACTGCACAGAAAATCTGTCTGGGAATAGAAGAGGATAGAAATCAAAATACCAGTGTACACCGTCTTGGGCAGAACTCAGTGGGAGTGGGCAAGGGGCTGAGAAAGTCTAATAGAATATATGGACAGAATGAAACCAAGAAGGAATGGAAGTGCTACACAAAAAGGCTGTAAACACATGGCAATAACAGGTGGGTAGGGAAAACAGAACAGGCTAAAGAAGACTGACAGGAAAACGAAACGTGTATACATTGCAAGTTTCTTGTTTCTGTCAAATCTAACAGTATTTCCTGGCTTTTGCTTATCCCACAGCCTGCACTAGAAATAAATGCTACAATGGCGGCCAATGTTCACAGGCATATTACTCCCCACAGCTCTTCATCTGCCAGTGCCACCAAGGTTTCTTAGGGAAGCAGTGTGAAATAGGTGAGTATACTACATCAATTGCTTTGAACAATACTATTGGTGTTAGCTATGCAGTACATGAGGATGAGGTACCCAGAAGCTATTGCTGTAGAGAGCTAGACTCTCTATTTAAAGTTGTCTCTTTTTGTTCTAAAGCTAATACTGCAAAAAACTTTTAAGGACACCTCTGTGTCTCTTAATAAAACTCTGAATTCTGTAACTGAAGACCTTCATATACACTTATAGTCTGCCTGACAGGGCATTTTCACTGACTTACTAGACAAGATGTCTGAGAGCCAAGTTTAAACAGAACAGAGACTGGGGAAGCTGTCTGGGAAAGAACTGGCATGCTGTCCTTACATTTTGTTTCCTTTTATTCAGATACTCAAGTTAAATGCTACAAAGACACTGGAGTAACATATAGGGGTACCTGGAGCATGACAGAGAGTGGAACTGAATGTTTAAATTGGAATAGCAATGGCTTGGTGAACCGAATGTACAATGGCCAAAGAGAGGATGCTGCTGAGCTGGGACTGGGGAATCACAACTACTGCAGGTGAGGGGCTGATGGCACACAGGTCAGAGCCACAGGAATCAACCCATTCTAAGAGCCTAGAGCAAAAGAATGGCTGCTTACTGCAGTCTGATACCAAGCAGGGAACAGTCTGCACAGGTGCAGATACTGTGCAGCCCGTGAGCAGTAATTGTAACATCTGTAGACATATCTGAACTTCAGATCTTCCAAGACTGGATGTTTATGGCCAACTACAAAATCCAAGTATCTCGCACCCCATAGTCTTTCCCTTGCTCTTTCTCAGTCCTCCCTAAACTCCATTTGTAATTCAGTTTCCTACAGCTTCAAATCCTGATCAAAACAGTAAAAATATAGTGCTTCCTGTACGTGACCTAAATTGCACAAACGTGCTGTCCACTCCTGCTAGCTACTGGCCATTTCATCTTCACCTCAATGTACGCCACAGTTTTTAGAATTAAAACAGGAATTACAGCAACTTCTGATGGTTCAGTCCACATCGTCACTGCAGAGCAGGACTAAGTTAGCGAATTACATGGCTACATGACACTATTGACAATAGCTTTATAATGATGCATAACATTGTAACTCTTTCAGAAACCCAGATGAGGATTCCAGACCTTGGTGCTATATCTACAAAGGGGGAAGGTACACCTGGGAACACTGCAGTGTGCCCTCCTGTTCAAAAGGTACATACGAAGGACAGGGAATGGACTTTGCAATTTCCATTATTCACTGCATATATTTATTCACTGCATATATAAGAGTTCTCTGTGGACTTGGGTTATTTCTGTAGCCTAAAAAGTTGAGACTCTCATGTTATATCATATTTAGGCTTTCAGTATTTATGACACTGAGCGAATGAGATACATATAGGTAATATATATAGATGCCTTGACAGAAATCACACCTAGGAACAACTGACAGGTTCGCATCAATCGGTTAATGTGCAACTTTCTTATTGAAGTTAGTAACATCAACTGCAGATCTGGAAGAGGCACAGATTACCGTGGCAGCCACAGTGTTACCAGTTCTGGAGCTACCTGTTTGAAGTGGAATTCTCGAATTCTTAAAAACAAGCTATATACTGCTTGGAGAAGAGATGCTTACCAGCTGGGCCTTGGTAGTCACAATTTCTGCAGGTATGTAGTTGGTTATAGATTTTTAAAAAAACCCCACCAAACTGTCTTGTAGTACTCTTTAAGGCAAGGCTCTAATCTTTTACACAGATTAGAAAAGCACAAGAAATACATTACTGGTGGCAGTGAAGCTCACTACCAATAGTAATTTTATTCCACCTGATCTATGCTTCTCTAAGATCAGACTCCACAAATGCAAATTTCATGTGCCCTTAGGGCCCTCTGTATCTCTAGAAAAATCAAAAAGAATACCCTCGGTGACAATCTGACACCTTTAGGTCTCTGCAAACTCTCTGCAGATCTGATAGTACAAATAGCTCTTCTCTTTCCTATGCTGTAGGAATCCTGATAATGACAGCAAGCCCTGGTGCCATGTCCTGAAAAGAAATCAGCTCACGTGGGAGTACTGCAATGTGCCTACTTGCTGTAAGGATACCAGCACTCCTGATTTCTTCTCTTACTTTGAAGCATTACTGTCCTGCATGTCATCTCTAGTAAAATAAAATCAGGAGAAAAAAAGCTGTATTACACTCAAGCATCTTTCAGTAAAAAAAAGAGCTGGAGTTAAACAAACAAACAAAAAAAGCTTTTTGGAGCAGAAAGGGTTCTGTAGCTCCACTCTCACAGAAATGCCTTTTGCTCTGCCAGAAGGGAAGATTGCAGAAATGGAGGACAGGAAAGGCAGGGTTTCCTTACTGTATTTTTCAAATCAGAATGCAAGTTTCCTAGGAAACAGGGATGAGTCAAATACTAAACAGTTTGTGGCAGGCTGCCTCAACACGGACTGGTGACTAGCAGACTCTTAACCCTAATTCAAAGCAAGAGTGCCTGAACAAAAAGCCTGTTTCTGGGTTTGTCATCCACAGCCACCTGTGGCTTACGGCTGCGCAGAGTACGCCAGTACAGGATTAAAGGTGGTTCCTACGCAGACATTGCAGCTCACCCATGGCAAGCTGCCATCTTTGTGAAGTATCACCGAGTGCCTGGAGAGCACTTCCTCTGCGGAGGAATTCTGATCAGTTCCTGCTGGGTTTTGTCAGCTGCTCACTGTTTTGAGGAAGGGTAAGTTGAGGATTCAGTACTATCTGGGGAAAAAAAGTCTGGAAAATAGAAGCATCCAGTATAGCCTTACTGGAAGGGTATAAGACTTGGAAAAAAACCCTCTTTATCCCAGGAAGTCTGCATTAAAGATTACAGTTAATCGTGCTGAGCATTACAGAGAGGAATTTAATTGGGCAAACGAGCAGGATGGCATTAAGGTACCACAGGAGAGTATCAGATACCTTAAGAACAAAGTTGTCAATACACATGCAGAACCATCTGAAACTTGAGAACAGCAAGGGGCTGGCAGAAGAGCTTTGCCCTGATGACTCTAAGTATATACAACAAAAATGGGGGCAAGTAGGTCACTGTGAAGTCAAACTGCCTGGGTAACAAAATAGTAATAGAACTAAAATTAAAACAAACAAAAAAAAGCAGACAATCCAACAGCACATCTTAAACTGAAGGGTCCACTCTAGTTAACACAGGAATGGAGACTCTCTTGTTCTTCAGCTTTAGTTCAAATCAGCTGAAGATTGTGCTGGGTAGGACTTCCCGAGCAACTCCTGAGGAAAATGAACAGAACTTTCAAGTAAAGAGCTACACTGTGCATCAGAGATTTGACTCAGAAAATTTCAACAATGATATCGGTAAGAACTTCTCTGATTTTGTGATTGGAAGGTCATGGTTGGCTCAAGTGTGTGATTAATGAAGTGGGGGTATTTTTTCCTTGTTCAGCTCTGTTGCAGTTGAACTCAGATGCAGAAGACTGTGCTGTTGAAACAGGCACTGTCCGTGCTGCCTGCCTCCCCATGACAGAGCTGCAGCTGCCTGACTGGACTGAATGTGAGATCTCTGGTTATGGCAGAAATGAAGAATGTAAGTAGAAGATACACATCTATATGCAAGATACCATGTCCAGAGCTTGAGTCCTCTGCCCTCAAAGAATTCAAGCCTTTAGTGTCACTGAATGTGTAATGTATCATATCAGCTAAAGGAGCACTACAAAATGTACGTAGGAGTTACTCAAAACTAAGTTTTGCTGTAAGTTATTCACCTGAGTCTGTCAGATGTATGGGCTAGTAGATTCTTCCTTGATCTCTTCATGGTACAAAACTAAAAAATAATGGCACAATGAATAAGGTAGGACAGACGTAAGATTTGCAATCAGGGCTGCCACATCTCCTGTACTCAGTACATTTAGGTAATGTCATTTGGACAGAAATCCATTTCTGTCAAGGCTTGATATACTATACAGTTTCAGATTGATTCATTATTCTAAAAAAGACATTGAGTATGCAGAAATAAGCAAAAAAAAAAAGCTAAAGAAATAACAATCCCAGATATACATTAAAAGACTGGTTAAATTGCTTTTAAAGTGAACTATAACAAACAGAAATAAAAGCTGTCTGAAAGTATACACAGGCAGACCTGTATTTAAAGCAAACAAAAGAAAACCCCCAGCTCTTACTTTACTTTCTTCCTTTTCCATTTTCTTTAAATTCTCTAACTTGTAAACTTAGTAAGACAGAAACTGTGAAGCATCCATCATACAAGACCTAATCACAGCTTGGACCCATAGGGGTTTTGGAACAGACCTAAAGACATAGCATGTAAGTGTGGCATCGTGTTTTTAAAGTGCTTTTAAAGCTTGTCGTCAACATTGCTTAAAGGGAGTACAAGATAAACTCTGAGAGGGAAAAGATGCTGCAACTGTAATTCAAAACTCTACTGAATAACAACAATCCTGCCAACTTTCAGTTTTGTGCAATTGTAGCTACACAGGAGAATAAAACCAGTATCCAAATCAACCAACCAAATCTCTTCCATTCCAACATAAGTGTACCAGTTACTCAGTGTTATGTATGACAAAGCATCTAACTTTTGTTAGTGCAAGTCTTATGTTAAAAAGTTAGGATTCTGTTTCATACAACTAAGGCATTTTCATAGACATTTCCTGTGACTTCATTTTGATTGATGTAACTATGCGAAGACGACTTATCCACCCAAGAAACCCAGCAGTTTTTAATTTGGAGCCTACATAAACATCTCCAGCTTGCTGAAGAAAAAATATTCTTTCTCAACTAGATTTAAGCTGTTCTGATTATCAGAGTGGATCACCCAAGATATAAAAGGACCCTTTTGCAAGGAAATTTTAGTTTAGCCACAGAGCTACTTCTGTTCACTCTCCCCTAAACTATGGAAACTGAATTGCAACTTTTAAAAAAATCATATCTATGTGCATACACAGACATATGTAGCTATTTATATTGTCGTTTTTCTTCCAGTTTCTCCATTCTATTCAGAGCACCTGAAGGAAGGCCATGTCAGATTGTTCCCAGCCAGTCGGTGCACAGCACAGTATCTCGACAACCGGACAGTAACAGACAACATGTTATGTGCGGGAGACACAAGACACCTTGATGACGCCTGCAAGGTAAACCCAATTCTGTTCTTTATTCTTCTCTTTTCCTTGTCTCTTTTCTTTTATCTGTACTTTGAGCTAACTAAACAAACAGCTTCAGAAAATAGTTATGTATTTGCCTACATGGCAGTTCTAGTAGACTTCTGATGAACAGAACAGGACTGGTGGCTCCTCTTTCATTTCTCCTCCCCCACCCCTTATGGAGGGGAAGGCAGGGAACACTTAAGCAATCAAACCAGAGCAACACAGGCCGAAAACCCCAAATACAGGAAATACCACAAAACTGAACAGGAAAATCCACCCCAGCATTTCCTAGTATTTTCTGTTATGTGAGCATTCAAAACACTCAGCAGGAGGTTCTGTAGAAGGAAGGGGGTGCCCCTCTACTGAAAAGTAGAGAAAAGAAAAGCTGAAAGATGGTGGAGAACAAGCAGCTATGATGTGAGGAAAAAGGAAGGCATGCATTCAATCCACATCCTTTCTGTTTAAACAGCTATTTAATAATTTTGCTTTACTGTTACACACAGCAGGATAAAACTCCTTTGATCTTTATAGCTTGAATGAGGGCTTTCCTCTCTTTGTTCAACATTTTACCTGCATTTCATAAATGAGCTCCATACAAAGTTAGACACTTTAGTGTTACATATTTCTGTGTCTCTCCCTATAAGAGGAGCATTGAGGGAGTCTGGAACATAAAAGTGACTTAGGTAAAAGTACTGTTACTAAGAGCTCTTGATTTGTGAGCATACTACGTAGGGTATTCCTGTAAACACCTAGTGCACCTCTAAAGCCAGCGAGGGTGGGAAAAACAATGCAAAACCAAACAAAGAGATTGTTACTAATCTGCTACTTCTCTGTAGGGTGACTCTGGAGGGCCTCTGGTCTGTATGAAGGATGATCGTATGTATCTGATTGGAATCATCAGCTGGGGAATAGGCTGTGGACGCAAAGACATACCTGGTGTTTATACAAATGTGAATCGCTATCTTGACTGGATTCAGGCCACTATGAAACTCTGAGAAAGACAAATGAACCCTTTGCAATCCTGCGACCATGCCCTCACAATTTCCTTCTGGGTGCTTTAAGTATGCTGGCAGGCCTTCCTGTTTGTCCAGATGCTTATGACTTCTAGTACAACAGGAAGACAAACTGCAATATGTGGGAAGGGCATGTTCTCAAAATACTCTCCTTATTACAGGTTATTAGAAGCTAATCATCCTTTTCCCCAGCATCACCAAACTTTCAGCTTGAATCAAATTACATAAGGACAATAAAAAATTAATTCTGGTCTTGAGTGAATAAGAGAGAACATCGTGCATCTCTTTAGCAGCTATATTGTTTTAGGAATGGGTGTGAACTGAAGGAGACATTTAATTTCCTGAAAACTTCATCTCCCTCCTTACTTGGCTTTACAAGTGGAAGACATTAAGCTCTGTCCTTATACCATTCGACTTTGGTAATTTAAGCTGGTTTCAATAGAAACTGGTTTCCAACAGAAAGAACAAAAGCTGTAGGCATGGGCTGCTTATTTACAGATTAATATACTACTTGCTTCTTCAGTTTAGACCAATTAATTAACTGAGTTTGAGCTTACACTCTCTGAGCAAATTCAGGATGGCATGCTTATTAGGACATTTAATTCTTTCACTTGGTTTTGCTCCTGGTAATGGAATGGGCAAGAATTTTAACACCAGCCTGATCTGCCACAGATTCAATGCATATTTTTGATTATTAAATTTCTATGCATTATGATCTGATATGAAGCAAAAGCTCTCTCTTCTGTGCAGCAGGGCAAAAGAAAGGGCAAGTGTACTGGTATAAGAAACCTTCCAATATCTCGAGTAACATGAATCACTTCAGCAGGAAATAAAAGATCCTTTAAAAATCAAAGGTACAAAGCCAAAGGACAGTATTAATACTTGAAGAGCAGGAAGGTGATGAGGTATTTAATTGTCTTCATAATCAAAGCACTGCACTTAGCATGCTACCCAACTCAGTAAACAAAAATGGTTCAGCTGCATTCCTAAAGACATTTTCACTTGAGGTTCTAGGAAATGCTCAGCACTCCTTTTAGGAAACACTAAGAAAAATTACCAAGAAAGCAATTAATTTCAGCTTTTCAGACAGCAGCTTAGTCCCAGGTTTACAATGCCAACTGCATAAAGACATTTATCTCCCTAAGGCACCCACTATACACAATCCAATTGGCGTAATTTACCTTCCTCCTCAAATACAAAACTTTATTTCTTGTAAAGCCTGAAATGACACAGATGGCATGTAAAAATTAATTTTATTGATGCCCTTGTTGAAGGTTTTGTTTGCACTGAACATGTTCAGCAGTAATGTCACCTCAGCAGAATGCCAGCTGCTGTGGAGTTCTTCAGCTGCACTGGAACTTGCAATCCCACAAGCAAGATGCCGCTCATCCACTTCAAGTATCTGCCACATGCAAGGTGGAATGAATGGTATCCTTCGTTTAGGGTCACCCTGTTCTGTTCACAAGCATGAACAGTACATGCTGGACTCCACAACCACACGTGTGTGGTCACATGTACAGCAGCTTAGGTGCAAGTTCTGCTACCAAGAGAAAACACATTGGCATGTAGGGGCCAAAGAGCCTGTTACAGACAATATGAACAGTGCAGGTGCCTCTCATTTCCTATGTTCTGCTGTACCACAGGCTGGAATGGGCAGATATAGCAACAGCTCCTGAGAAAGCGATTATCCCAGTGAAAAATCTGGCATAGGTTTGAATCCATCTGCACAGCACCTGATTGGTACAGGAACTGAAATTAAGTAGGACAGGAGGAACATTACAAAGGTACTAGGTCACAATTATCTCAAAGAAAGACATCAGTGAGCAGAAAAACAGCAGTATCCTCATTTGCAATAGGCAAGAAGAGGCAAAAAGAGGTTCCAACAAGTTACTAGGACAGTGGTTATCTTCATGTAGCCACAGCTTCAAATTCCATCAGTGCTGTCTCCACAGAATTTCCTCTGTCTCTTCTGATTCCCCAAATAAGCTAGGAGAATTCCTACCTTCAAACACTGATGAAATAAGAGGAGAAGCTGAATTACATGGAGATACCACCACTCATCAGTTAAAAGATCTGAATGTATTTCAAGTCTGTATTCAGTGACTCAAGATCCTTGATGACCCGCATGCCTTATGAAATATCTAGAGAAAGAATGCACTTCTTCTCCTCCTCCTTTTGTAGGACCATTCCCAATCTCAGTCTTCTCAACTTCCCATCCTGGGTGGAATAATGTACCCTTCCACTTCTTCCAGTCCTTTTGAGGCAGAACAGCTAGATGTTCTCCCTCCTGGCAGGAACTACACAGGAACTACCACCCTAACGCCCAGTGATACAGAAAGGCAGATGCTGGATCATCACGTTGAAGTTTGTGGAAATTCAACTTTGTATCACTACAAAGGGAAAAAAAGCCAAACAAAATGCAAGAGGAGCTACAAGAGGCCATAAATCCCTAGAATTTCCTCTAAGACAGCAAAATGAAGGCGATACAAGCTTACATAGCTGACTCACTAATCCTAAGGGACCTGAGCAACCCTCCCATCTGCTATTGTTCCAAATACTTCAGACTCAGGTAGGGATGAAGTGGTTTCAGTCAACCTTACTTTTCCCTGCTTTCCAGCACTCTGAGCGCTGGCTGTCCTGCTTATGCTACTACAGACAAGGGAGCAACCCTGAAGAGATGGATGGGACAAGAGGCTGCATCCAAGAGCGAGGGACTGGGGAAACAGGAAACGTGCTCTTCTTCACTAGGCCTAGGTTCACGAGCCTCTAGGTTCTGACTTGGAACTTGCCAGCCTTAGTCATGTATTTTATCCCCTTGAATGGCTTGTACTTCTCCCCATACATGTCCAGGCGATTCACCTTCAGTCCTAGAAGCAAACAAACACAGCCTAAGACTGTTGCCACAAACAAAGCTGACCGGCCTTTACGATAAACAGACAGAAGATCATACAATAGTGGTGCAGAAAGCACAGGGAAAGTTTTAGCAAGCAGTAGACAGAACGGAGAAAAGCTGACAACTGCTAATTGTTAGCATCATTCTTTACAAACACATCCATACCCTAAATTTCTTTGTAGGTCTGTAAGCACAAAATGCCAGGAAATGTAGGTAAATTATTTCACAGAGCACCAGCAAGAGCAAATCCATATATCTGCAGTCAAAGCAGACAACTTTTTTGCTTGAAGAACATGTTTCAGGTACAATGCACTTCAGAAGGTTTGTGAAGTTACTTCAGCTACATGCAGAATGAGCACCGACACAGCAGTCACTTACCAGATATAGCCAGCTGCTGAATTTTAAACTGTAGGTTAATGGTGGGGTTTTCATCTGGTTTCAATGTCCCAGGTTGCAGGCTCATGCTCCCCTTCAGACTTGGCAGTTTCTGGAGGTTTATTTTCCCAACATCCCATGACAGTAACTTTAAGGAGCAGAAAATGCAGCAGTGAAACTCAAATGCTGTACCTCTAAAGAAGAGTCCCATTCTGACGGCAGCTTTTAATGTTTCTCTATGAAAAAGTCTTTTTCTTGGTATCTTGCCTTTCATATTGGCCAGACACGGGATTAAGGAGCAGATACCTCAGCATCTTTGTTCTCCTCCTCTTTCCATAAGGCTCTCCAAAAGCCTACTATGAATGTGGTATTTCCACTACTTGTGCTAAAGACCCCATGGGTAAACCCATCAGATTAAAGTTTGCAAGAAAACAAAAAAAGTTAACTCCTCAGGTTCAAACAAAAAAACCAGAACACCCCAAGCCTAATCAAAACCATTAATCAACCCTCAGTGTTTGCAAAAGCCCAAGGTGCAGCACTAGGCATGACACCTAGATATGCAGATGTTTGTAACCCATTCACCAGACTGATGTCCCATCATACAAGAGCAGTGCTTAGATTTTCTTCACACGCCAAGTAGCCAGAACTACAGTCCATTCAGACACCAAAGTATTTGTCCTAGGGATTAAGAAAACTCCTAGTATGCAGTTGTTCAGAAAAAGTTCTCACCCCAACATACTGCCTTCAGCAAGGCAGTGTTCATGGAAGCCTTCATGTAAATATGAACAGGTTGACTGCATTTTCTGATAGGTAAGAAATATTTAAAAAAAAACATTATCTGATTCCTCTCTTTCCTCTTACCTTTGTAACTGGATCGAAGACATGTGTTCCCTGGGAGGGTGTAAGGGTCATATTTAAGACACTTTTTGGCATCTGGCTAGTGACCATCACTCCCTCTACAGTCTTCCCCATAGTCTGCTTTGGCCCCACTGTGATCTCAAACCGTCCCAGTGAGCTGCTATCACGAAAACTGATGTTGTGCTTAACGTAGACAGGAATTGCCACAAGACTAGAATAGAGACACAAACAGAAAGTCCTTGTTGATCTCTTGCCTTCTTATTTGCTTAAAAGAGAAGGAAATCCTACACCCATTTGTTTGAGCTAGGAGCAAAGTTAGGATTCCATTCTCAAGTCTTAATTACACTTTTTGTAAACAAGCTTGCTGTATCCTATTTTCTTTATCGGAACAGGGAACTACATCCAATAAAACATGAGGCTTGAGCAAAAGACAAGTAATGTTTTTGCATGTCGCAACCAGGCTGGCAAGTAGTTCCTGACAGTGCAGCAGCACCTGAACTTCACATTTGTGCTTTTGGTTGCATTTGCCACTCCTTTTCACCTACTAGAGATAAATCTGACAGAGGTCTAGTAAAATTCTTTAGCAACTGTAACCCCAAATAGTACTTGGCAAGTTGCTTCTAGAAAAGAGTGTAAATGTGGACAAGAGCTTGTGGCTCCATTAAGAGAGATGTCAAAAACCTAACAGGACCCCCAAACTATCTTGTTTTATTCTACAAAGTTTTTATAAACATATGAAATCAACAGCTTGATTACTTCACACTGTCTAGTTCTTTCCCTATCTAGTTTGTTTATCTGCTAGTAGTCTTTGAAAAATGCTGGCTGGCCAAAAGGACATTACAGAATCGCTGCTCCAAACAAGGAGAAAACATGTAATTTTAAAAAAAGAAAAATACAAGTCACCATGCACCTCTACTTCATTTGGCTCAACATGCCACCTCATCTTTAAAAGTTCCTTCTTTTATCCTCTTCCTAGCCAGAAGGATCCAAATTTCATAATTCACACCACCAGACTCATCACCTACTTTTGAGCACTGACATGGTAGGACAGCAAGCGGAAATTTCCATCAGGTGGAATGAAGGAGAGTATTCTCTCTGACTCCCAGCGCTTAAAACGCACACATGGGTGAAAGCTGACATCATCCAATAACCGAGGGTTCTGAAACAAAAAGAAAGTCACAAGGTTTGGAAAGGCAGTACAACTTAAAATGACCTCCTCTTCTTAGCAATCTTCTATCCATGAAGGGCCTACCACTTGACACACTCTTGACCACTTGAAGGTGTCTACATTCAGACATGTCTGATGCTGTTATATCCATGTGAAAGCAGTACTCAATAACCTCTATCCTTTTTCAGGATATTTTTAATCCTATTTTAGAAAACTTAGTCATATCACATAATTGCATTAGTGCATACTCATAAAAGAGGTGGCCCTTCAGGATATCTGCTTAAAGCACCACTGTATCTCAAAAACTTGGACACAGCACTGATTACCTGTGCTTTTAAACAAATAATCTGAAAAAGCCCTTTTAGGCTCTAAGTTGCTGAAGTTCCTGATGAGTTCCCATTGTCATTTCTTTCTCTTTTCATCTGGCATACCCAGATTCTGATGTACTGGGACTCATCATCACCAGACTGCAATCTTAGCAGCAGGGCTGGGAAACCCCTTTCAAAATACTTAAGTAAAGATACATCCTTGAGCTTTACCATAAAGGAGAGGGTAAGGTCTGGCATCCCAGTCAGCTTGACACAAGCATCAATCACTCCTTGGATTTCAGCAGTGATCGTGGAACCTGCAACAATAAAGTAAACACAGGTGATTATGTGAACCTGATCAAAAAAATACCAAAGTGGAAAAACTACCAGTGAGGAGGAAGGAAATCTATTTTCTTAATGAAATGCCATGGCTCATTATGTTGTCTGCTCAACATTCGTATCATTCACAATGACTTCTCTGGAAGATTCATTCAGTTAAGAACCAGAGACACTAGCAATGTCCATTTTAATGGCCAATGACAATAGCTCCCAATTCTAACAAGATTAAGAAGCATGAATACTAAAGAGAAAGTGCTATGCACAATTTTTACTCATCTTCTATTTTCCCAATATAGAATTGCTTATGAGACCTCAAGAACAAAGACAAGTGAAAATCTCAGTACCTCTGTAAAATTTTTGACTGAATAGCACATACAAGTTAGCAACATTCCAGAGTAAAAATAGGAACAGAGCTTCGAACACTTGGATGAAGCTGCACCTATTTAAAAATCTAGCTCTCTCTTCAGGCACCATCAGGACAAGTTATCCTATTCTTAGCCAGGAGCAACTTCCATACCCGATTTGTCAATGATTGCATCTATCTCCTCAATCACATCAAAATAGGCCTCGTTGTTGGTATATTTTACCCCAGTACGTCTCCAAGGCACCACTGAGAGCTGCCCAGTGGGGAGCTGGTCACCCACATTAGTGCTTCCTGGAAAAAGAAAGGGAATTAACAAGCACAGAAGTTAGGCAATGCTACAGAACAAGTCTTTGGCCTTATAGAGCTTAATTATAATTGATCCCCGAGAACCTCTGTTTCTTTGTAGGAGAGCAATTACTGTTCCAGCCTCCCTGTACTCCAAAAATGTGCATCTCTCTTACACCCAGCTCTAAAACATACCACAGTAATGCATGGGCAAGTGTAAACTCACATCAAAATAATTCATCCTGGAAGTCATGTCATGTCTGTAACTGAAAATGTAATCTGACTTTTTTAAGTTTAAAAAACCCAAATCAGACCAAAACCAAATGCAAAACCAAAGTGCAGCTGATGCTGAAACTGGAAGGTACCTCAAAGCAAAGCACTAACGCATGACTCCCTAAATACACCTGTGCTGCATGAATAGGACAACATAAATTTTCTTCACCCATGTCCTAATTTACTTATGCCAGAATATTCCCACCTGTACCAGTTTATCATCTTCTTGTTTCCCAGTACCTGTAATGGTGTTGACGACTGTTCGCAGAATAGTAGGAGGCTTTATCAGTTCCTTAAGAATATTAGACTCTGTTGCCAATGGAAAGCCATTGTCCAGCATCTCCTCCAGCACCTCATAAACCACCACAACGTTGTCCTTGATTATTACCTCTGAACAGACACCAAAATAATCCTGTGCAAAAGAAAGAATCACTCAACAATCTCCAAAAGAGAATCTTGGTGATCATTCAGCCCAGTGCTCTCCCACACAGGAATAAATCAAGCCTCTTCTTGAAGGAGGCAGAAAAACCACTGAAACTCCGTGTATTACTACAAGCACATCACACATGCCACTCCCACAGACAACTCTGAACACACCTCGGCCACTGCTCCAGTAAGGTGGCAAATTCCCACATAAGCAGTTCCAACTAATTCAGCAAATTTTAAAACAGAACAATTAATTTACTTACTGTCTTATTTTATGTGGACTTCAAGCACATCTTAGGAGAGAGCAAGTGCAAGTGCAAAAACACAAACCAGAACTTCTAGTTACTTACAGCAATTAAAGAGATCAGCCATTTTGCATAAAGAATGAGTATACGTATACTATGACAATAGAGAAATCCTAGTTCTGCATTACAAACACTCTGTTTCAGATATATCAGATTTTAATATACATCTAAGCCGATGATGACACATTCATGCCTTGTACCCTCACAAAAAACAAGACCTAAGGGTCTGACATGATCCACTGCTCGCCTGAACAGCCAATCTACTCCCTAAAGTCAGAGAAACATAACTCAGAATACAATCAGGTTATGACTGATATCTTAGAAGCAAAAGCTCCCATGATACTTGTTTGGCCAAGCACACACATTTCCCGTATGCTGGCAAGATGCAGATCACAAGACATTTCTAATCCAGACAACACAATCCTCTTGTTGGCAGGCGGAAGACAGACATCTTTACCGTTTTCCTAAACTGATCAGAAGATGCGTCAACCATAGTACAGAGGAAATACAGCTGCTCTGGGGCAACTCCTGTAACTCACTGCTTTAGGAAGGTTCCAAGAAGCATCACTAGATGTAAAGGGCACGGGTAGGTTGTCACTAATTGATTAAAGCACGTGGCTATGTTCTTGTGAGAACAAGGCCAGTTTGGTCTCGGTTCACAGTTCCCAGTACAGGTAAGGCTGCAGAACAGAAATACTGATTGCTGAAAGGTTCATCCTGTGAGCACAGGTAGATGCCGAATCCATCGTAATCCTAGGCAGTAAATTCCCGACTACGGCAAGCCCTGTCAACATCCTCACAAACGCAGGATGTAAATCATGTGATTGGAAACAAAACTATAATAGCTGCAAACGAGAGGGGCTCTTTGCACCGCCCGCCCGTTCTACCCCGCAGCGCTGCCGTGCCGAGGCTCCCCCGCTGCAGCAGCGGGGCCCACGCCCCTCAGCCATACCTGGAACGTGTCCACGACGCGGTGCAGGAATTCGATGACGAAGAGCGGCGGCACCTCACTCTGGATGACGGCCAGGAAGAAGATCTTGTGGCGGTAGACGCTAAGGAGGTAGTGGTGCGGCGTGGGGATCACCGGCGGCACGTTCTCCGCCTCTGAGGCCCGCTCCTGCGCCTCAAAGAAGTAGTCACAGACGGAGCGGCTGACGACGCTCTTCCAGTGCTTCTCCAGGAAGATGTCCCCCGAGGCGTTGATCAGGAACAGACTGTGGATCATGGCTGCGGCGGGGCCGGACTGTGCCTGAGCGAAACCCCCGCGAGTGCCGCCCGCACGGGCCCCGCCCCCGGCGCGCGGACAAGCCACTCCCAGCGCTCGGGACGGCTGTGTTGGGCGGCCCGCCCACAGCGCTCCCTCCGCCGGCCGCGGCTGCACGGCCCTCCAGCCGGTACGGCACCGCGCCCCGCACAGCCCCGCGCGCCCCGCACAGCCCCGCGCGCCCCCCGGCCCTGTGTCCCACCTCTCTGTCCCGCCACCGATTCTGTGTCCCCGCCCTCCCCGTGACAAGGCAGGGAGCCACCCGGGGCCGGCCCGCGCGGAGGCCGCTGCACGTTCCCCTTCGTTCGGCGCGGTGCGCTCGCGGCGCAGCTCCCCTGCCTTCTCCTCACCGGCCTTTAGGAATCCCTTTTCTAGAGGGGAACTTCAGTATAGTCCATGAAATGAGGAAATAATCCGTCTTTTGCAGGGAGGAGCAGCTAGGGGAACGTTTTTCACTACATTGTTTTGCTGGTTCGTTCACCATAGAGTAACACCCCAGAAAACATTCAGCTGGCATGAAAACATACCAAATTTACCTAAATTCTCTAGCAAATTATTCCTTTACATAATTAGAACTAGTGTTTCATGTTCTGTTTATATAGCAGATCCCTGAACTTCTCAGTAAAACACGCCATGGCAAATAATTTTCCTACTACACTGCTAGGAATATACAAAAACAACGGAAAAGCAGTCCTTTGTATGCCATTAAATAAGCTGTCTGAAAACACAGCCTTTATAGATGGCAGGACTATTGCACCAGCACAGAGACTGAGGTCTGAGATTTCACACCCACCTGCGATTCATGACTGTGGGCAAGTCTTTCAAGTGGTGATATCTGAAAGTCTGGAAGATCTTGCAAATTTTGTCAGAATGCAAACAAAGGCCCAGTTCAGAGTCTGTATCTTTTATTTCTTTTGATTCATTGTAGCTGTTTCTTTCCCCAAAATAGGGCACAGGTCAGTTCACTTACTCTGACACTACCTTTCAATACTACTGTATGCATACATCCTTATTTAAAGCATTAGGTAATTCTACATGAGCTAGACGAGCTTTGCACTATGGCAGTACAGTATTGAAGGAGAAATGACCCATATATTAATTTCTCTTTTATGGTCAGTATTTGTATCAAATGCAATTTTTTTAAGAACAACGTTTTTAAATATCCAACTTAAATTACTGTGATGAATTACACATTTGAGAGCAACACAGAGGCAGCAATTTGTCATTTAATTACATCACTTCTAAATTTAAAGTTATTATTTTAATATAATCAGTTTTTAACACAAAAGCACTGTCAAGATTATCAGTCCATGAGGAGATTGTATTATTGGGAGTCATATAGGTAGCACAGACGGAAAGCAGCAGAACACAGTTAAACTGGCAACAGAGCCTTTATACTTTTGGTTCTCCATCAAACACAAAATGGTTCTGTTTTTAACCTGGACTTTAAAATCAACAGTCATGGGGTACATATTTTCAATTAAGGCGTTTCTTTATTGTCTAATGAAATGCAATTCAATTTTGACAGTATATTACGTTATTTAAATACTGCCATTTTCCTCTGACTGCCTGTACCCACCATCAAAATTTTATTTTATCCAGTTTATTATATTGCAATTTTCCTATTTTTCCTACAGTTGCTTCAGCTTCCCTTGCCATCAAGAATATTGGTGCTGATACAAAAACAATCATATGGTAACTTAGTATTTCTGCACACCAGTGGAAAGGGTTGTTGAGGGAAGCCTAGCCGCTTCCACACCATTAGACCATGCTTTGTTCTGAAAGTCTGCACAGTGGTTTGGGAGCTTACAGAAACTGGAACTTAAAGGTAAACATGACAGAATATGCTGCCAGAACAGAATTGAATTTTGCTGGTGAACTTAAGGACAGCCTGAAAACTGCTGACAGGGTATTTTACTTTCATTATGTGAACCTCAAGAGAAAACTGTGCACAGTCAAACAGTAGTGCTGCAAAATGTGCTGCCAAAACATCACTGTCTTCACGATGAAACAATTTCTTACTGTCTGTAGTTTGCCATATGCAGGAATTCTGATGATTTAGCTGTTAGCCTGTGCTGTGAAAATACAAGAGAGAGTTGATGAAAACAGGCCATTTTTTAGTCAAATAGTCTACAAAACAATTAGTTTTGTGAAGTTGCTATTAATAATAACCTACTGCTAATTTTGAAACAGAATAGAGTCTACAGATTGACAGTGTTGTGGGAACACCATTGGGTTTCCCTGTTCTGTACTGCATCCTCTTAGTCTTGCTTTACTTTCTCATCTGGAAATAGCATTTATGTCTCTATTAGCTTTTCTGAATATAGCACCACAGCCTTGCAATTTAAGGCAGCACTATAATTTGGAAGCCTTGCAGACTTGAAGACTCGGGAAGAGGCATGAGAAGATTAATTTGTTGGGAGAATCCAAGTCTGACAAGACAAGGCCAGACCTCTGCCATCTATGTGGCAGAAACGGAACTTTTTGTGCAGTACCTTACAAAATAGCACCTCAAACTCCATTTGCTTCAATTAATAAGCAACTCACTGGGAACAGTTAACTTTCACACTGAAAAACTTACTGTTAAAACATCAAAGTAATTCCTCTTGTTCAAAAGAGAAATTTCTCACCTTTAAGACACTAAACAAAGCCATTCAGAAAACACCACATTTGTTTTATCAACTCTAGAACATTTCTTAAGATTTTATTTTTTATTTTCTAAAAACAGAAGCTCACAAGAAACTTTACACAATAGTTTTAAGGCAATGGTGGAAAAGTCTATGATGTGTAAACAAATGGTAAACTGAGCCAGAGGTTACAAAAGGCGAGAGAATTGCATGCAGCACAAAGCCACACAGAACGCATAACAAAATGAGACTCTTTCAATTAAATATAACCTAAGAGAGAATGCTGTTAAATGAGAGCCTGCTCTTTGCTCACGTCTGCCAAGGTTCAGCACATGCCAGTGGAACGCTGTACCTCTGTAGAGCCGAGGAGAACCTGTGGTGTGAGCGAGCCAAGGCTGGAGCTCTAACGGGCCCTCCTCGTGTGTGCGAGGAACAGCCAGCTCTGCGCAGCCTCACCTAGAGAGCTCCCAAGGCACTGTCATGTGGCACAGCTAATGTTTTGACAGTGTATTATTCATTACTCGACACAGTAAAATATGTCAGAAAGTTACACAAATTACCTGGCAAAGATGGCCAAGGATAGAGCAGCCTTTATTCGCGCACGTATGAAGAGGCATAGAGAGAGTACCCGCTCTCAGAGCTAAATGGTACCGTTATTTCAGAATCCCACATCACTTCGGAAAAAGCCTAGAATGGCGATTTCAAGCGCAAGCTTAACTAAGCCTAAGAGAGGAACTTCTTTTCAGGGTACGGGTATCTCTCTCTAGCGCCCCAGCCCTCTCACCATCCTGCCCGTTTCTCGGCGGTCGGAGCCTCCGGCGGCCGCAGTTTGCGTTCCCGGACCGCAGGGGTTCCGCACAGGCACAGCGAAAAGCCCAGGTCTGCAGCCACTACTCCCCACGTACGCTTCCAATCAGCCTTTACCGAACGGCGGCCCGACTCGGGCCCGGCCGCTCCCCTCACTCGCTGTCCGCTCCGCTCCGGCGGCTCCAAGCGCAGCCCCGCCTCCCCGCCCGCGGCGGCGCAGCTGTAGCTCCACAGCGCCCCCCGGCGGCCGTCTACGCCTCACCGCGCTGTTCCATCGCCTCGCTACCCCCCTCCCCCCGCGGGCTGTTCCACCTCGCGCCCCCCCGCCCCCCGCCGCAGCGCGCCGGGCCCAAGATGGCCGCCGTGTCAGTTTCGGGCTTCGCTGCCGTCCGGCCTTCACCTCCCGGGTCTCGGTGCTCGCGGGCCTCGGTAAGTAACGCTGGCGGAGCTGCGCCGGCTCGGGTGGTTGATGCCGAGGAAGTCGGGGACAGGCGGTTGGCGAGCTCCGTGGCCTGAGGAAGGGGAAGGCCCGTTGGGCGCTCCAGGCTTGCGGCCTGTTCCGGCCCCGCCGCCGCTCTGCGCCAGGCCCGGCCCCGCCGTCCGCTCCCGCGGCGCTCGCCAGGCCCACGCCTCGGGAAGGTGGCGGTCGCGGCACGGCACGGCTGAGGCGAGCGGAATGGCTGGGGGTGCGCGAGCTGAGCTCCGTTCAGTGTCTGGCGCGAGAGAGCGCGGCCGAGGCCGGTGCGGGCCCAGCCGTACCAGTGCGAGGAGTTATCCGGGCTGCACTGCCTGTATCCAGGAGGACGGACTGCTGCGTGGGGTTCGGCTGTCTGCCGCGGCTGCGGCCTGCGTCCTGCTTTTCCCGAATTCCCTGGTGCGAGTCTCGGTGCTGAGGCAGTGCGCTCCTTGGGGCGCCGTGCGCGGGACCCACCCGCGGTAGGGATGGGGACGAACGGTAGCAGGTGCAGGGGTCACTTGTCACGCAGAGAGCGAGTGAGCGAGTGACCCACCGGGGCTGGGACCCTCCCGGTGTCGCCCTGGCCTGGCCGGACGGTTGCATAACGCCCTGCGCAGGGAGCTCGGCTGGGAACAGGGGACGGAATCCTTCGGGCAGGCAGGCAGGGGGCACCGCCAGAGCGTATCTCTGCTTTGCGAGGAGGGCAAGTGTCGAGGACCATATTTCCGTTTACATCTGTTGTTCGCGGGATAGAAGAACTCTAGGCAGGCACTGCACCCTTTCTGGTTTAAGCAGTCGTTCAGAATCTTTCCACTACTGGCCGTGTGGAGCTCTGCTATTGAGTCTGATGTCTGTATGCAAATGTGTTCTGTGTGTTGATAAATTCTTCAGTACTTACTAGAAAGCAGAGCAGGATAACTGTGTTGTCGACTTAGCTCTTGTCTAAAACGTCTCTTGTAGAAAGGCGTTATTTCTTGTGGTAAACGCTTTACAGATCCTTCTCGGTTAGTATACTAGTGTGTTCCTGAAGTAGAACTTCAGTGCAATAGACAGTTATCCCACCTAGAAAAAGCTGTTTTAAAGATAACTAACTAAAGGCTCTGAAGTAGAGCCTCATACCCTTTCACCAGCATTGTTAATTAGCAGTTTCATAAGCATTCCTTTTATGCTGTGTATGGTCACCTGTTACTTTGTTCTCAGGTGTTTTCAGTGGGCCTCATCAATACTGAAAATTATGTTGTATTCTTTTTTCTATGGCCTCTAAAAGTAGAGCATTTAATTGCAATCTCCAACCTTGTTTCCTCATGTTTTTCCTTTATGGAACAACTGCCATAGCTTTTTCTTCACAGAAGAGAAACCCATGATTACACTCCTGAAAGCACTCTAAAAGTTTCTTGCTGTTTGCTGAAGAGTCTTGGTTTTTCGTATTTTCTATTGAAGTTTCAGGCAGTGTCTTCCATATGTAAAAATTAAGAGAGTTGCTGCTCTTTTAAGATGTTTGTTGTGGTTTTCTTTTTCCCCCCCAAATATTAATTTATGTTGTCGTGCAGTGATACAAATCTTGGTATAGACTAATAGATCAAAATGGAAAGAGCGCTTTTGTCTAGATTGAGTGGAGTAATTTTAATGCTAAACTATGCTTTTATTAGTAGTGAAGATGAAACCTGAAGTATTACTTCAGTATTTCAGAACTGTAGTGGCTTAAAACTGTGCTATGTGTTTAACAAGTTAACATTGCGTGCTAGTTTTTTTCTTTTTTTCATAACCGTTTGTTTTGTTTTGTTTTGTTTTTTAACGTCTCTCTTATTTTCTTCCAGGCCTAACATTAGAGCTCATTTGAATGTGAGACCAGCAGCCCAGCAGCTCAGGTGAGATAATGCTGAAATCTTTATACCTTTGTGGAAAACCTTACTGTGAAGCTGTTATGGGATTTATTGGAAAGAGTATAGAAGTTTCTAATTGTTTTGTTTTCCTCTCTTCAGTGTAAAAACAAATAATGTTTGAGAAAGGAGGATTAATTCAGAACAGAAAACGTGTATGCTATGGTTAGCTGGTTCCCGTCATTCGAGGATCTGTTTTCTCATCATTTGAAACTCGTTCAGCATCAGGATAAAGGATAACGACTCTATGGATATACAGAATTCTTCACCATGGTAAAACTCGCCAACCCGCTGTATACAGAGTGGATTTTGGAGGCAATCAAAAAGGTAAAGAAGCAAAAACAGCGACCTTCAGAGGAGAGGATATGCAATGCAGTGTCGTCTTCGCATGGTTTGGACCGCAAAACTGTTCTGGAACAGTTAGAGTTGAGTGTTAAAGATGGAACTATTTTAAAAGTCTCAAACAAGGGTCTCAACTCCTACAAGGATCCTGATAATCCTGGGAGAATAGCACTTCCAAAGCCTCGGAACCATGGCAAGTTGGATGGTAAACCAAATGTGGACTGGAATAAACTTATTAAACGGGCAATTGAGGGCTTGGCTGAGTCTAGTGGCTCATCCTTGAAGAACATCGAGCGCTTTCTGAAAGGTCAGAAAGATGTGTCTGCGTTATTTGGAGGTAGCACTGCCTCCATTTTTCACCAGCAATTACGATTAGCTGTCAAACGTGCTGTTGGCCATGGTAGGCTCCTTAAGGATGGACCTCTATACCAACTCAACACTAAAGCAACCACTAATGCTGATGGGAAGGAGAGTTTTGAGTCTCTTTCCTGTCTCCCTCCAGTATGTCTTCTTCCCCATGAAAAGGATAAGGTAAGACACAGTTTTTGTACGGTCATTTTCTTGTGATTGATGGAATGTGTCAGGATAGAGTTGCAATTTGTGGCCAGTGATCTTCTGTGTAGTGGAACTGAAAGTATGGTAACAGGCTTACTGTAGGTGTGTCAGCAAAACATAGGCAGTAAGCCTCCTCTCTCGAAGGTGACGTGGATTTGCAAAGAAAACTTGAGATGATCTCTTACTTTCACATTTTTGTTTGACTGCCATTTCTTCTTTCTATTTGAATTCAGTTAGCATAGTGAGGGGTTGTTTAGCAATTGCCACCTAATGCTGTCTTAGAGGATTTCTTTATAATGGGCAAAGAACTTTCTGTGCCAGAACCTCTTTGTTGTCAAATAGGAAGAAACCTCATCTAACAGATGATGTTCCTACCTGTGGCAGGGGGTTGGAGCCGGATGACTTTTAAAGTCTCTGCTCACCCAAACCACTCCATGATCTAGAGAGCATGGACAATGCTGGAAGGAGCACTCAGGGACTTCTGCATCCTCTGCCCCCTCCCCTTTCCCCCATTTTAGATACACATTCTTTATAAAAAAGAAAATACTATTTTCCTGTTGCTTTCTCTTCTTATTTTTTGTGGTTTTCCCCTCCTTTCTGCCATACTTCTTTTATACCTAAGGTCATTGATCCTCCACTCTAACCTCAAGATGAAGTTGTTGGACTGAAATTCATACCCAGTCAGTATCTTTTTATTCTTTCTGTTACTTTAATTGCAGAGTAAAACAGAAACTTGTCTTTGTTTACTGAAGATCAATTTGCCAGTGATTCATACACTTGCACTACTTGTCTCTAGGACATCTAGAATGTGGAAACTATTTTTTTTTATCCTAAAGAGGTACATTTTTCAGCAGAATGGGAAGTTTTTGGATGTTATAAATATCCTGTTCAGGAGTGAGTTCTTTGGGTGTGTCCTACTCCTGGCTTTTGAAGTCAGCTTCAGTCTCTGGTAAGAGATGCTTTAATGATCTATTAGGATTTGAAGATTTAAAACTGTTGTAGGAGTCGTCTTCCTAAAGAAAATAAAATCTGCACAGCTGCTTTATCACCTGTAAAGTTTTCCTGAAGTTCTAATTTAACTGTGGGAGCTTTACTGTGGACACTTGTCAGTGTATTATGCTGTGGGCTGGCGTAATGCAGGAAGTATTACTATGGTGAAAATTCCAGTGTCCTGTCTACAAGTGTTTCCTATGTAAGTCTCCAACTTTATCTATAACGAAATCTATCTAACGAAATCTAATTTATCTACAACGAAATGTTGTGAAAACTGGATATAAACAAACCTGGCACATGAGGTGGCTGGATTGAGAGTGTTGGTAACAGATGATAACAGTGGCTGTGCATATTATTAACGCAGTATGTTTCACAGCCTAGTCAGCCTTCTTGTAATGTGCTGAACGAAACTTTGGAGCAGCTTGATATTCTTTGAGATTAATTGTTCCCTGCACTTTTCTTAAAATGTTATAAATCAGAGTGGTGAATTGTAGTGTGAGCTACCAGAAATACTGAATGTACTCTGGGATTTGTTTTTTGTTCCCCTGGAAAAACATGAATTTTGCAAGGGATTTTTTTCAATAAATTCTTTCGAGTTTTTGTGTCTGTGTGTGTCTTTGCTTAACCCTAGATTTCTGCTCTTCATGTGCCGTCTCTGTGCTGCGTAAGTCAGGCGGAGTTTCATACTAGTATCTGAAGTAATTTTGAAGATACTATCTTAAAACATGTAGGTTTTGCCAGTGTTAATTGACTGGCAAGTCAGTGGTGGCTCAAAGTTCCTGTTCTCCAGGATTTTGGAGACAGTTTATTTTTCGGTTTTCATTTGCTCTTGGTTGGTTGTTTTTTCCATGAAGACACTTCAAT